TCTCCTGGTGGGAACAGCTATGAATGGGGCATCCAAGGTGGGCAAAAAGCCCCTTCCCCCTGGCTTGGGGGGCAAGAAGGCTGCTCAGAACAGCTGCACCCCTGGGCCAGCACAGCACCTAGGCCCCCACTGGGTTTTCTTCCCCCTGCACACCCTCCCCCTCAGCATTTTGGCAATAATCCCTCCTTCTCTCCTCCGGGCCTCCTCCTGAAGTGCAGCAATCCAGCTTCTACGGGTACACGGGGCTGCTGCCCAAGCGCTACACCCAGGGGGTTATGACTGGCGAGAGTGAGTACCCGCGTCTGCACCCGCGTCCCACCCTGCGGCCTCGGGCTGGGGACCCTCCTCCACTGTCCCCCAGGACCCTGGACAGTCATATCCAGGGGCCCCTGATGTCCCCAGCCCTGCCTGGCCATGTTTGCCAGCAGATCAGGGACCTCCCCAGGGTGTTCCCCAGCAAACCAGGGTGTTTCATGGTTTGTACTTGCATTGCCTTGCTAAGCTCCTCCTCGCATGGAGGCATCACCGCCATATGACGGGGGAAGCTGTTTGGGGTCCCCAAGCCGTGGGGCTTGTCAGGACCCTGTGCCAACAGCTCTCCTGTGCCACCAGGCACCGCCGGGGTCATCATCTCCCTCAGCCGCATCTTCACCAAGCTGCTGCTGTCAGATGAGAAGGAAAACACAGTCATCTTCTTCTTCATCTCCATCGGCATGGAGCTGACCTGCTTCATCCTCCACCTCCTGGTGAAGCGCACCCGCTTCGTCCGCTTCTACACCTCCTGCTCCCACAAGGGCCTCCCCAGGGCCCGGGGGGCTGGCGACCACGGGACAGGCTACCGTGTCCACCACGATGTCACTGCTGAGGACATCCAATTTGTAAGCCAAGGGTGGGTTTCCTTGTTGTCCCCTCAGGGTCCCGCTCCCCACTGGAGCTCAGTACTGGTGTCTCTTCTCTCCCCCACACAGGAGAACCGGCCACGGGGGCAGCCGAGCTCCCCCCAGGGCAGCCCGGGCCCTGAAGCTGAGCTGGCCGGCAGTGGCACCTACATGCGCTTCGATGTCCCTCGGCCCAAAATCAAGAGGAGCTGGCCCAGCTTCAGAGGTGGGTGGTGGGCTCAGGGGAGGGAGAGTTGGGCCAATTTTAGAGCATTTTGTGGGGCAGGATCCCTTCCCCAAGGCTTTGGGGAAGGGTCATCCCTTCTCAACACACCCCAGAACACGGAGCAATGATGTCTTTGGAAGCCCCTGCTGGGCTGCAACCAAGACTTTCAGGCTCTGCAAGGGTCTGTGTGGGTTTTGGCTGAGCTGTGCTGCCCATGCCTGCCAGACATGCTGCTCCACCGCTACGTCGTGTCCCGGCTCATCTGGGCCTACATGCTCTCCATCGCCATGACCTACTTCATCACGCTGTGCCTCTTCCCCGGGCTGGAGTCGGAGATCCACAACTGCACGCTGGGGGAATGGCTCCCCATCCTCATCATGGCCATCTTCAACCTCTCCGACTTCGTTGGCAAGGTAGGAGAGAAGCCAACTCCAACCTGGTGTGGCAGAGGGGTCCCCTCCACCGTGCTGCTTTTTTGTGTCCTCTTTCAAAGGGTCATTGCAACCCCACGGGTATCTAACTAATGTGAGATCACTCGCTTGCCTGGCTGAGGTTGGGCTCCTGCAGCAGATGGTCCTGCCACCAAGTCCTCTCCTCCTTGCTGGCCCATTTTGGGCACCATGTTGCCCTCCCCAGCCACCTCGGCCTTGCTTCCATCACGGTCTCTGCCCTTCCTTGCAGATCCTGGCTGCCCTGCCCTACGACTGGAAAGGAACCCACCTCCTCGTCTACTCCTGCCTCCGTGTGGTCTTCATCCCTCTCTTCATCATGTGTGTCTACCCCAACGGGAGGCCCACCTTTGGCCACCCAGCTTGGCCATGCATCTTCTCCCTGCTCATGGGCATCACCAACGGCTACTTCGGCAGCGTTCCCATGATCCTGGCAGCTGGCAAAGTGAGCCCCGAGCAGCGGGAGCTGGCAGGTAGGACTGAGTCCTCTTGGGAATCCTATGCAGGGTGGCCAGAGCAGCCCGACATTCCTTGTCCCTTCCCACAGGGAACACCATGACCGTGTCCTACATGACAGGCTTGACGCTGGGCTCGGCCGTGGCCTATTTTGCCTACAGCCTCACCAGTACGTCCCACAGCACCTGCTTCTACACAGAGTTCACCAACAGCTCCTTCACATCAGGGTACTGAGTCCCAGGGTGGGGCGATGGGGACAAGACGAGGACCTGCTTTCCACCATGGGCCCCAGCACCCCACTTGGTCAATGTCTCTCCTTGGGGACGGAGCCTGGAACCAGAAAGCTGTCCCAGGGTGGACAGGGACAAGCATCCCATTGGCATGGGACCGAGGCATCCTCAAACAGCCTGTGATGCCCAGGCAGGGGTACTTCTTGGGGTGACATTCCTCCCACCCCAGGGATGATCCTGTTGCTCTTGGGGGAGCTCCCCATCAGTGATGTGCAGTTCCCTGGTGGCGGAGACAGGGGGGTAGGGGTGGGGGGGAGGGAAGGGGTGTGTCTTCTGTTTGAGCCAAACCATTCCCAGGAGGAAACAGATACTGCCAAATCCCAAAGGGAGTAAAACCAGCACTGGGGAGGAGGGCGATGGAAGGCTGAGGAGGAGTAGGATCGAGAGGAAGGAAATGCTCCTTCAGGCCCCACTGGGTCTGGGAAGGTGAGTCCCAGCTTTGATGGTGCTGCAGGTTTTCACCAATAGCTTGAAATCATGATTCCTCCCCAGACACGCCAATCACTGTGGGAAGGAGCCAACTCACTTCTGCTGGTTGGAAAAAAAAATACAAATGTGGTGGTGGTTTTTTTGTTGCATCTCGTTTTGGCTCCCTCTAACTGCAAGAGAGACAGGGTCATCCCTCCCCCCACCCCCTGCTGTGGGTCTGCCCCAACACGAGGGGACAGGGGAGTCTCAAGGCCACAGCACTGCAGATGCCACCCATGGGCCACTGCTGAGCTTCAGGATTTATTGCAAGGGACATAAATGAAGCTGATCCCAAATTAAATGTCTGCAATGATGCCTGGTCTTGGCTGCTGGTGCTGGGCTGAGCTTACAAACACACACAGCATGATGGCTGCTGTCCTGTGGGGTGTCCCTTGTGCTGCTCTTCATCTCCAGGATCCCCTCTGTCACCTGGAGCAGATGGATTTAGCATCAGAGCTCCTGCCAGTCTGAAAACTGCAGGACCTGCTTTCCACCATGGGCCCCAGCACCCCACTTGGTCAATGTCTCTCCTTGGGGACGGAGCCTGGAACCAGAAAGCTGTCCCAGGGTGGACAGGGACAAGCATCCCATTGGCATGGGACCGAGGCATCCTCAAACAGCCTGTGATGCCCAGGCAGGGGTACTTCTTGGGGTGACATTCCTCCCACCCCAGGGATGATCCTGTTGCTCTTGGGGGAGCTCCCCATCAGTGATGTGCAGTTCCCTGGTGGCGGAGACAAGGGGGTAGGGGTGGGGGGGAGGGAAGGGGTGTGTCTTCTGTTTGAGCCAAACCATTCCCAGGAGGAAACAGATACTGCCAAATCCCAAAGGGAGTAAAACCAGCACTGGGGAGGAGGGCGATGGAAGGCTGAGGAGGAGTAGGATCGAGAGGAAGGAAATGCTCCTTCAGGCCCCACTGGGTCTGGGAAGGTGAGTCCCAGCTTTGATGGTGCTGCAGGTTTTCACCAATAGCTTGAAATCATGATTCCTCCCCAGACACGCCAATCACTGTGGGAAGGAGCCAACTCACTTCTGCTGGTTGGAAAAAAAAATACAAATGTGGTGGTGGTTTTTTTGTTGCATCTCGTTTTGGCTCCCTCTAACTGCAAGAGAGACAGGGTCATCCCTCCCCCCACCCCCTGCTGTGGGTCTGCCCCAACACGAGGGGACAGGGGAGTCTCAAGGCCACAGCACTGCAGATGCCACCCATGGGCCACTGCTGAGCTTCAGGATTTATTGCAAGGGACATAAATGAAGCTGATCCCAAATTAAATGTCTGCAACGATGCCTGGTCTTGGCTGCTGGTGCTGGGCTGAGCTTACAAACACACACAGCATGATGGCTGCTGTCCTGTGGGGTGTCCCTTGTGCTGCTCTTCATCTCCAGGATCCCCTCTGTCACCTGGAGCAGATGGATTTAGCACCAGAGCTCCTGCCAGTCTGAAAACTGCTGCAGAAGTGCAACACCTTTGCAGGCAGCAAGCAGAAGGAGCTGAGCAGAGCAGAAACCATTTGGAGATGTCAACCTCAAAGGCTGCAGCTTTTTGGAACTGGCTGCATCTCCCTGTGCCAGGAGTTGGTGGATGTCACCTCCCAAGGAAGCAAAGCCCAAGGGCTGGAGGCTGCAGGGAGTGCCAGGCTTGGCACCCATGACCCAGCCCCAGCAGCATTAGAGGGTCCCACCATGGCAAGCGCCCACCTGGTTGAAGTGCAGCTCACCCCAAAAGGATCCCCAATCCAGCATTTCACCCTCAAACCATCCTCCCTGTGGGGCTCAGGGTACAGGAGTCACTATGACCATGGCTCCCCCCCAAAGAGCCACATGGCACCTGGGTTGGGTCTTTCCCTGACCACGAAGCAGGGGCTGAGCCAAAAAGCGACCATTGCCAGCAAGGGCTTGAAAAACTCCACAGATCAGGACAAGCAAGACAAAGAAAGATGCTTTGTTGGGTTGCTTTTTTTTCAATTAATTTTTTTTTTTTTTTTATGAAAAAAGATCACACTGAGTTCTCCAACAAACAGAATGCCAAAAAAAAAAGAAAAGAAAAAGCCGTTTTAAACAAAACATAAAGAAAACAAAAACAAAACAGGAAAAAAAAAAGACAAAAACCTGGCTCTCCTTTCCTCTCGATTGTCTGAAATATCCTTGTGTTCCATAGAAGGCAGTGGGTTTTAAGTGCTTTCTATTTAACATTAGCATAAAATCTCTCTCTCGCGCGCTCTCTCTCGCTCTTTTAAAATATGCTCACACAATTTGCTTCTAGAAGTACAGTACACTTTGAGCGGGGGG